ACAATTCTACTGTGCTCTTGACACAGTCCTGACTACCACTGCCAAGGAAGACAAGCTCATCCTCATGGGTGACTTCAATGCAAGAGTTGGGAGACTCTCTGAACTCTGGAGTAGCACCATTGGGAAAGAGGGGGTGGGGAAAGTCAACTCCAATGATATCCTCTTCCTCAGCTAATGTGCAGAGCATGACTTGCTCATCATGAATTCCATCTTCAGACAGTGACAAATATAAGACCACTTGGAAACATCCATGCTCCAATCACTGGCATTTTCTTGATTATATTACTGTCAGAGCCTGTGGTTATACTGATATCCATAACACCCAAGTCCTGAGAGGTGCAGATGACTGCTGGATAGATCACCGTTTAGTCAGAACAACCAAGGGCATGCACCTTGCACCCCAACACCGTAAAAAACTGAAAACAACGTGGAAGAGATTTAACATCAAGGCACTCCAAACCAAGATAGATGTGAGGCTCTTCAGCAACACCTTACTGAGAGACTCTCTGACCTACCTGATGACATCAAGGACATTCAGGCACGTTGAGAGAAGCTTAGAAACATTGTTCACAAGACATGCATTGAATCAATTGGATACTCCACTGACTGTCACCAAGATTAGTTTGATGAGAGCAGTGAGGAAATCCTAGCACATATCCAGCAAAAGAGAGCCACACTCTGCAGTTGTAAATATGAACCCTCCAACCAGCAAAAATGAGAGGCTTACCACTGGCTCAAAGCTGTAGATCAGAGGAGGCTACAGGACATCAAGAACCAGTGGTGGCAAGTGAAGACCATGGAGATCCAGAGTTTCACTCACCAACATGACATGAGAAGCTTCTTTCAAGAAATAAAAGCCATCCATGGGCCATGTTCCAATGGCCCAGCCCCTTTGTGATCTTCTCATGGACAATGTATCCATCAAGCAATGCTGAAAGGAGCACTTCAAGACTCTACTCCACCATGAATCTGAGGTCTCAGCTGCCACAATGGAGTCCATCCCTCAACACCCAGTAACAGAACCTCTTGCTGATCCCCCGTCCTTCAAGGAAGTCTGATGTGCCATCACTCGGACCAAGAACAATAAGACACCAGGCCCAGATGGCATCTCTGCAGAGGTCTTCAAAGCTGGTGGAACAGCACTAGCGCAAAAATTTCACCAACTTCTCATCAAAATGTGGTTTAATGCCACCTGACTTAAAGAATGCCAACATTGTGGCCATCTTTAAAAAGAGGGACAAGTCAGCATGTGGGAACTATGGAGGCATTGCCCTCCTCTCCGTTGCCGGGAAGATTCTTACTCACATCCTCCTGAATCGCCTCCTCCCCCTGGCCAGAGATGCCCTTCCAGAATCTCAGTGTGGCTTTAGACCATCTTGAGGTACCACTGACATGATTTTGTTGCAAGACAGATCCAAGAGAAGTGTGGAGAGCAATACCAGCAGCTGTTTATGGTATCCATTGTGCTAACCAAGGCCTTCGACTCCATCAATCGTGAAGACTTATGGAAGGTCCTGGCTAGGTTCGATTGTCCACTGAAGTTCATCAGCCTCCTCAAGCTACTCCATGATGGCATGACTGCCACAGTCCTTTGCAATGGATCAGAGACAGACCCATATACGATCCGTACTAGTGTTAAGCAGGGCTTTGTCATCGCCCCAACCCTTTTTTCCATCTATCTTGCTGTGATTTTGATTCTCATCCGTGACCACCTTCCTCCCAGAATTGAGGTTGAGTGTCAAATGGACGGTCAGCTTTTCAACCTGTGGTGCCTTCACAGCAAAACGAAAGTTACTAAGACTGGCATCACCAACCTTCAGTATGTTGACGACTGTGTTATCCCCACAGACACTGAAACTGATCTGCAGTCCACCCTTGACCTTTTCTCAGGTGCCTATCACAGTCTGGGACTCTCCCTTAACACTGGGAAGACCAAGGTCCCTTAACATTGGGAAGACCATCAGCCTACCCCAGCACGAGCTGCCCCCCTTCCCCCACAAATTATCATCTTTTGCATTAGATGGGAAGACCACTGCACCAACGCCAGCATCTTCTTTGCAGCTAACATTACCAGTATTGAGGCAAAGATCATGAAACAACAACTTTGCTGGGCTGGCCACTGTGTGTGGATGGCTGATGCTCATCTCCCAAAGCAAGTCCTCTTCTCTCAACTTAGTCATAATAAGAGGACCCACGGAGGACAGAGGAAGCACTATGAGGACATCCTGAAAGCTCATCTTAAAAAGGGTGGCATCAAACCTACGAACTGGGAAGTGCTGGCTGGTAACAGGTCTCAATGGTGCTGCACCGTAATCAAGCTACAACCCACTTTGAAGAGAACCATCTTGCTCACGAAGCCGAGAAATAGCAGAGGAGAAAGAAAAAGGCACAACACCCTGGCCAACAGCTGTGCCCCCACTCTCCCCACCAAGGCACCGCTTGTCATATCTGTGGAAAAACTTGCAGACCATGGATTGGATTCCTCAGGCACCTTAAAACTCACCAGTAATCCCTCTCCCCCGCCTCCCAGAAGACATCATCCTCATATTGAGGAATAGCTGATATACACACAAGCTCTTGTATAAGATGATTTAGATAGAGGGCGCTATCTAGATCCAGATAGGGACTAGATAACCTCCTGAGATCCCTTCTAGCCCTACTTTTCTATGATTCTATGGTGTTTCTATGAATGAGAAATTATTTATTCTCATTAGCAGTATTTCAGATCCTAAATCAAATTGTGACATTTGTGATGCATCTAACATCATAATGATCATAACTGAAAGCAAGCCTGAAAGGCATTGAGGATCTGTCTTCCAATTTAGTGGAATGGCAAAAGCTTTGTAGAAGGGTAACACTTTCCTATTTGAGTTACCAGCCATAAATGTGTCAAGAATTGAAACATGGCTTAATTCTATGGGTGATTTAACAGGACTTGCCTGTGACTAAACAGAATACACATTCATTGGCTGTATTTTTCAGTGTAATTTTTTCAACAGTTCAAAATGGGCTTGGTTATAGTGGCAAATAGAAATACATTTGCTGTGCATCAAGTTGCAGGAATTTCATTTTTTTCACTCTATACAACCATTCCACAGAAAACACTACAATTCTCATCTCAGTACACATACCCAATTCCCATTCCCATTAGTGTGGATCCTATATTCAGTGAAAGCATACATTTGTATTTATCTTTACTCAGAAGATATTATGGATACCAAGACTGCTATCTACAAAGTGCAAATACAATTCTTGTCAGCATATTTGTCTGAGATTGTCTTGTTTACTGGATTTGGTAACTGTATTAATACAATACAACAGATTTATTATTATAATGTGTTAGGGCTTTCTATTTGTGTGAATATACATTATTGCCATCAACTATGTATAGTCCTTCCAGTCATTATTAGGGCTAAATGAAACTACAGGTTACAGGAATTAATCTCTCTCTTTCTGGGGTTAGTTCTGATGACCCCAAATTTAAAGCACCCATACAACACTTTTTCTGGATTTGAGACGGTAAGCAAACCTCTGTTTTTCACATGGTATCTAATGTAAAACTAGAGTTGACTTTCAGCTGAAACTCATCCAAGGCTTTCCATAATGATAAAATATCTGTGACCTTTGCAGAATGGCCCATATTTTCTGGTTTATATTTAAAATTGAGCAGGGTGAACAGCAGGACTTCTCTCCATGCAGAGGATTCCTTCGGGTCCTGGGAGACCTGATCTGTCAGTAACTGAGGAACAAATGCAATAAGAAATGTTTCCACCTAGCACAGAAATAGTTGCATTTTTACAAAATGAGTGCAACATCCTCCACTCGGGGAATTCTCCTCAAAGCCTACAGATCTGTTATCCAGGCAAATCTCACTTGAGAGCCTCTTCTTCCTTTTCCTTAGAAAACACCCATTTGGATCTTATGGATCATAAAAAGAATCAGAAAAATGGCCAATACAGTATTATGGCAGGCCCACTCTGTCTTTATGCTATTATAAGCATGTATACAAGCACTAGAGACTATATCAACAGAGAATAAACCAACGAGCTAACAGTTGAGGGTAAATAACAGAAATCACCACACACACAAAAAGCAATGCAATAAATCCATTGATAAAACCTGAAGTGAGCATCACACCAGGAGGAACAAGAATTGCCCATGACGTACGTAAAATGACACCACTTATACTCAGCCATTTCAAGCACAGCACAAGTAGCAAACTCCTGACTCCTTGACTATGCATCTCTGAGGACACTTCACTGATGCACAATCCACATACCTCAGAGTATTAATACTGTGGATGAAGTTTCTATATGGTGGCAAACAGCTTTTTTGCATTAGTTTAGACTCGTTTTCCCCCACTGCATTTGCCAGTGAAGTGCGAATATTGCAGCAATTACACACTGTCATTTTTATCAGCTGAGGGATTTTCCAGAAAAAAAATCCCTACACCGTCTGTCAAACATTGTAGCAGAGCTGACATGAATTAATTTGGTCAGGTTGGGAGCAATTTTCACATGGAAATGGTAATAAATGGTATTTTTTTCTATGAAACTGACATCAGGTTTTTACCTGCACGTCAAGCTAAACCTCCTCCACAAACAGCAGCTAGAATGCATCAGGAGAAACGATATTGAGGAAAACAATCATCCTGTCCTGAGCCTGAAGTTACACAGTTTTATAAGGAACGCAGATTCAAGAGAGAAAAATCTGGCCTGACAATTGACTTTACTAATAAAAATAAAAGCATAAGGAACACCCGAATGGTAACAACCAGTGCAGTCCAAGCTCCCTCTTCTGGCCCTTGTGAATAATACATATCTGAGCAAAAGAAGTTCCTAGTCCGGCACCTCTGACCAAAATCAACCAACAAGACACTCTCCCATCAAAATTATTTATATGTCAACATGTTAATAGTAATTATATATTCTAAGGCAAGGGTGGATCCAGAGACAGATGTTTCATGTTCAAGTTGTATAAAATGCAACATTACACAATACCTCTTTATTTCCCTTGTCAATCCCTCGCTGTCTTGAGCAGGTGGTTCTACAACAGTAATGGGAGCAGGAGCCAAAGATACATCCTCAGGGACAGGTGCAAGTCCACTTTCAGCTTCTTTGCAGCTACCTGGCTCCAAAGTGCTGCAAAACAACACGATTATCATAAATAATAAACCCTGTAAAACTTAACTTGGTGCCACAATGTTTTCAATGCATTTGTAAACTGCTGTAACTCTCATTAGCTGGCAGACCCATTGTTAAGAGTTTACTATTTTGTTTTCACACACAGATACTATAGTAATAAATAAATGACTGCAAACAGTCACTAAAGGCTTTGTAAATTCCCTGGATAAAGTCTCCAACCCCAAACTCCAAAAGCATATTACAAACATTGAATTAAACTTTCTAATAAAGCAACAGCCGGACATGACAGCTAATGCGATGTCCCTTTTAGTAATAAAAACACATTCAAAAAGTTCCCTTATGTTAACTATTCACTACACTGCAGAACTAGAAATCTTGCAGTGTCTTGCTATATAAAAATGAAGGGAAACTGTGGTGTTGCTATTGTTTTAATACTAACAACAGCCTCTGTACTGCTGTGTCCTAAGAGAGATGAGTAGAGAATAGGTTGCAGATTTAAAATCATGAGTTTTGAAGTAGGTAAATATAATAAGAAAAGGTGTTTTTCATTATCCGAAGTCAGGGTGGTGCAAAGAAAGGGAGTTTAGTAGAAGAGTGCCCTCTCTTGGCCACATACGGAAGAGCACTGGAGGTGGTTAAAGTTCCAGCTGCAATTTTGTCATAGCCTTTATTTTTTATGAAAAAAACAGAGGGAAGTATATAGTGAAAGGACAAAGGAGATGAGAAACCAGCAGTCAGTCACAAATCACAGGCACTAACATGGAAGGAATGCAGAAAATCATTATTTTATTTACAGAGCGGCCAGCACACAATGTGCTCTTTTAACAGAGAGTCTCACTGAACATAACATTTGAGAGAGTGGCATTCGTCCTGTCCAGCTGTCTGTATTTCTCAAGTTGGTATTTTACTAATGTAGAAGGGGGAGGAAGGGTGCTTTCTATTTCATCCCTTAAAAGAATGAAACACTCCGTGAGGACAATAATATGTCTCATATATATTTACACCCCCAACAAATATTCACCACATCTGCACCCACAGGAGTTGTTACACAGAGGTACCCACGTGCATTTGGCAGGCCTCACAGCATATTTTGATCTCAGGGAAGGTAACTCAACTGTTCACCACCACAAACTCATTAACTCATGTGGAAGCGTATGTTTTAAACAAATTATGCAATGGCTTCCATGACAATTCATAGAAAGGTAGGGCTGGAAGGGACCTCAGGAGGTCATCTAGTCCAATCCCCAATTGTAACAATAAAGAAGAATCTCTCAGACAGACCTTGGAGGGCTGCCTAACAGGCTCACAACTGGGCCCATTTTCAAAGTAGCAGCCACAAAATACACATTAAAGCTGCTGAATGGAGAAGCAGAAAGGACAAGACAAGAGTGTTTCCAATTGAGTAGGTAGAAAGATAA